CCATGGAAAGGGGTGGGAATTTTGAGGGGAAAAAGATGGGAAAAAGCTCGGAATTGGGAGTTTTCGTGGGAAATGTTTGGTGTTGGAGGAACCTTTGGAGGAACCTTTGGAGGAACCTTTGGAGACCCTTTGGAAGGGGAAGGGGTTGGAAGGGCTTTGGCTCCCAGGACAGGGTCTCCAAAGGTTCCTCCAAGGTTCCTCCAAAACCAAACTTTTCCCATAAAAACACCCAATTCCAAGGTTTTTCCCAGATTTTTTCCCCCACATTCCCAACCCTTCCATCCCTCCACGGATCCTCCAGAATTCCCATTTGGAGATGGAATTTTTTGATTCCGAGGGAAGGCTCTGAACCCAAACTTTTCCATAAAAACTCCCGACCTCTCACTTTCCCAAACTTTCTCCTCCTCATTCCCAACCTTCCATCCTTCCATGGATCCCTGCAGGAATTCCCAGCCTTGGAGACCCTTTGGAGATGGAGGGTTTCAATTCTGAGGAAAAGGCTCCAAATCCAAAATTTTTCCATTGAAATTCCTGACCTGAGGTTTTTTTCCCAGATTTTTCCTCCCCATTCCCAACCGTTCCTTCCTTCCATGGATCCTCCAGCATTCCCAGCCTTGGAGAACCTTTGGAGGGTTCTTTTTGGAAGGGCTTTGGTTCCCAGGACAGGGTCTCCAAAGGGTCTCCAAAGGGTCTCCAAAGGTTCTCCCAAGGTTCCTCCAAGCCCAAATTCCAGGAGCTCGTCTGCAGTCTCAGGTGGGCCTGGAATGGTGGAGGAACCATGGAAAGGGGTGGGAATGTTGAGGGGAAAAACCTTGGAATTGGGAGTTTTCATGGGAAAAGTTTGGTGTTGGAGGAGCCTTGGAGGAACCTTTGGAGACCCTTTGGAAGGGGATGGGGTTGGAAGGGCTTTGGTTCCAGGACAGGGTCTCCAAAGGGTCTCCAAGGTTCCTCCAAGCCCAAATTCCAGGAGCTGCTCTGCAGCCTCAGGTGGGCCTGGAATGGTGGAGGAACCATGGAAAGGGGTGGGAATGTTGAGGGGGAAAAGATGGGAAAAAGCTCGGAATTGGGAGTTTTCACGGGAAATGTTTGGTGTTGGAGGAGCCTTTGGAGGAACCTTTGGAGGAACCTTTGGAGACCCTTTGGAAGGGGATGGGATTGGAAGGGCTTTGGTTCCCAGGACAGGGTCTCCAAGGTTCCTCCAAGGTTCCTCCAAGCCCAAATTCCAGGAGCTGCTCTGCAGCCTCAGGTGCGCCCGGAATGGTGGAGGAACCATGGAAAGGGGTGGGAATGTTGAGGGGAAAAAGATGGGAAAAACCTTGGAGTTTTCACGGGAAAAATTTGGTGTTGGAGGAGCCTTTGGCTTTGGTTCCCAGGACAGGGTCTCCAAAGGGTCTCCAAGGTTCCTCCAAGNAGGGTCTCCAAAGGGTCTCCAAGGTTCCTCCAAGGTTCCTCCAAGCCCAAATTCCAGGAGCTGCTCTGCAGCCTCAGGTGGGCCTGGAATGGTGGAGGAACCATGGAAGGGGGTGGGAATGTTGGGGGGAAAAACCTTGGAATTGGGAGTTTTCATGGGAAATGTTTGGTGTTGGAGGAGCCTTTGGAAGACGATGGAGTTGGAAGGGCTTTGGTTGCCAGGACAGGGTCTCCAAAGGGTCTCCAAGGTTCCTCCAAGGGGTCTCCAAAGGGTCTCCAAGGTTCCTCCAAGCTCAAATTCCAGGAGCTCGTCTGCAGCCTCAGGTGGGCCTGGAATGGTGGAGGATCCATGGAAAGGGGTGGGAATGTTGAGGGGAAAAAGATGGGAAAAAGCTCGGAATTGGGAATTTTCATGGGAAATGTTTGGTGTTGGAGGAACCTTTGGAGGAACCTTTGGAGGAGCCTTTGGAAGGGGATGGGGTTGGAAGGGCTTTGGTTCCCAGGACAGGGTCTCCAAGGTTCCTCCAAGGTTCCTCCAAGCCCAAATTCCAGGAGCTGCTCTGCAGCCTCAGGTGGACCTGGAATGGTGGAGGAACCATGGAAAGGGGTGGGAATGTTGAGGGGAAAAAGATGGGAAAAAGCTCGGAATTGGGAGTTTTCATGGGAAAAGTTTGGTGGTGGAGGAACCTTTGGAAGGGGATGGGGTTGGAAGGGCTTTGGTTCCCAGGACAGGGTCTCCAAAGGGTCTCCAAAGGGCCTCCAAAGGGTCTCCAAGGGGTCTCCAAAGGGTCTCCAAAGGGTCTCCAAGGTTCCTCCAAGCCCAAATTCCAGGAGCTGCTCTGCAGCCTCAGGTGCGCCCGGAATGCTGGAAGATCCATGGAAAGGGGTGGGAATATTGAGGGGAATGTGGGAGAAAAACCGAGAAAAAATTTCAAATTGGGGAATTTTTATGGAGAAGTTTGGGTTCGGAACAAAACCCTCCAAAAGTTCTCCAAGGCTGGAGATGCTGGAGGATCCGTGGAAGGAAGGAAGGTTGGGAATGGGGAGGAAAAATCTGAGAAAAAAACCTCAGATCAGGAATTTTAATGGAAAAATTTTGGATTCAGAGCCTTTTCCTCAGAATTGAAACCCTCCATCTCCAAAGGGTCTCCAAGGCTGGGAATTCCTGCAGGGATTCATGGAAGGATGGAAGGTTGGGAATGAGGAGGAGAAAGTTTGGAAAAGTGAGAGGTCGGGAGTTTTTATGGAAAAGTTTGGGTTCAGAGCCTTCCCTGAGAAGCAAAAAATTCCATCTCCAAATGGGAATTCTGGAGGATCCATGGAGGGATGGAGGGTTGGGAATGATGGGGAAAAATCTGGAATTTTTGAATTTTTATGGAAAATTTTGGGTTCAGGAGATTTCCTGGGAATCCAAACCTTCCAAAGGGTCTGCAAGGATGGGAATTCTGGAATGCGATGGAGAGATGGGAATGTGGAGGGGAAAAGTGTGGGAAAAACTTTGGGAATTTGGGAATTTTTATGGAAAATTTTGGATTTAGAGCCGTTCCTGGGAATCCAAACCCTCCAATTCCAAAGGGAATTCTGGAGGATCCATGGAGGGTTGGGAATGATGGTAAAAATCTGGAATTTTTGAATTTTTATGGAAAATTTTGGGTTCAGAAGATTTCCTGGGAAGCCAAACCTTCCAAAGGGGTCTGCAAGGATGGGAATTCTGGAATGGGATGGAGAGATGGGAATGTTGAGGGGAAAAATCTGGGAAAAACTTTGGGAAATTGGGAATTTTTATGGAAAATTTTGGATTTAGAGCCGTTCCTCAGAATCCAAACCCTCCAATTCCAAAGGGAATTCTGGAGGATCCATGGAGGGAGGGATTGGTTGGGAATGATGGGGAAAAATCTGGAATTTTTGAATTTTTATGGAAAATTTTGGATTTAGAGCCATTCCTGGGAAACAAAACCTTCCAACCCCAAAGGGAATTTAGGAGTGGGATGGGGGGTTGGGAACGAGGATGAAAAATCCGGGAAAAATCTTTGGGATTGGGAATTTTTATGGAAAATTTTGGATTTAGAGCCATTACTGGGAAATGAAACCTTCCAATTCCAAAGGGAATTCTGGAAGATCCATGGAAGGATGGAACGGTGGGAATGGGGGAGGAAAAATCTGGGAAAAAAAACCTCAGATCAGGAATTTTAATGGAAAAATTTTGGATTTGGAGCCTTTTCCTCAGAATTGAAACCCTCCAACCCCAAAGGGAATTTAGGAGTGGGATGGAGGGTCAGGAACGAGGATGAAAAATGTGGGAAAATCTTTGGGAATTGGGAATTTTGATGGAAAATTCCCGTCATTTTCCCCTTCCCTGCAGCGACATCCACCTGATGGAGAAGGAGCTGGCGCAGGAGCAGCAGAGGAGCGGCCGCCACCGAGCCCCCAAAATCCTGGAGCCCTTCCCGGAGCCGCCTCCCAAGGTCGGGAATGCTTTGGGAAACGCGGAAATTTCGGGAATTTTTCCCGCGCGAAAATTCGGGAATTTTTCCTGAAAAATCCAGGAAAAAATTCCCATTTTTTTGCCCCATTCCCACAGCCCAGTCGGCCCATGTACAAGCCGCCATCCCATAATAACCTGCTGGCGCCCCAGCTGCAGTTCCAGGTGAGGAATTCCGGGATTTTTTGGGAATTTTTGGGAATTTTGGGGGGTTTTTGTCCATTGAGGGGTCGAGGATGGGAAAGGGATTGGGGAGTTTGGGGTGAGGCCAAAAATCCAACCCCCAAAATCCACCGGGGGTTTGGGATCCATCCCAAAAAATTCCCGGAATATTCCTGAAATTCCCAGATTATTCCAAAATATCCCCAAATGTTCTGAACTATTCCGAAATAGCTGAAAAAAAATCCCAGAATATTCTAAAATATTCCACATATCCCAGATTATCCCAAAATATTCCAAAATATCCCAGAATATCCAAAAATAATCCAATATACCCCAAAATATTCCAAAATATCTGAAAAATCCCAAAATATCCCAAAATATTCTAGAATATCCCAGATTATTCCAAAATATCCCAAAATATCCCCAAATATTCCAAACTGTTTCAAAAAATCTGAAAATATCCCAAAATATCCCAGAATACCCCAAAATATCCCAAAATATCCTAAAATATTCCAGATTATCCTAAATATTCCAAAATATTCCAAAATATCCCAGAATATTCCAAAAATTCCCAAAATATCCCAAAATATTCCAAAAATTCCCAAAATATCCCCAAATATTCTGAACTATTCTGAAATATCTGAAAAAAAATCCCAAAATATTCCAAAANATATCCCAAAATATTCCAAAAATTCCCAAAATATCCCCAAATATTCTGAACTATTCTGAAATATCTGAAAAAAAATCCCAAAATATTCCAAAATATTCCAAATATCCTGAAAAATCCCAGAATATCCCAAACATCCCAAAATATCCCAAAATATTCCAGAATATCCCAGATTATTCCAAAATATCCCCAAATATCCCCAAAATGTTCTGAACTATTCCAAAATATCTGAAAAAAATCCCAAAATATTCTAAAATATTCCAAATCTCCCAGAATATCCCAAAATATTCCAAAATCTCCCAGAATATCCAAAAATAATCCAATATACCCCAAAATATTCCAAAATATCCTGAAAAATCCCAAAATATCCCAAACATCCCAAAATATCCCAAAATATTCCAGAATATCCCAGATTATTCCAAAATATCCCCAAATATCCCCAAATGTTCTGAACTATTCCGAAATATCTGGAAAAAATCCCAGAATATTCTAAAATATTCGAAATATCCCAGAATATCCCGAAATATCCTCAAATATCCCAAAATATTCCAAAGTATCCCAAAATATCTGAAAAAATCTGAAAATATCCCAGAATATCTGGAAATATTCCCAAATATTCCAAAATATCCCAAAATGTCCCAGAATATTCCAAAGTATTCCCAAATATGCCAAAATATCCCTGAATATTTCTAAAAATCCCAAAGCATTCCAAAATATTCCAAAATATCCCAGAATATTCCAGAATATTCCAAAATATCCCAAAATATCCCAAAATATTCCAGAATATTCCCAAATATCCCCAAATGTTCTGAACTATTCCGAAATAACTGAAAAAAAAAATCCCAAAATATTCTAAAATATTCCAAATATCCCAGAATATCCCAGAATATTCCAAAATATTCCAAAAATTCCCAAAATAGCCCACAATATTCCAGAATATCCCAGATTATTCCAAAATATCCCCAAATATCCACAAATGTTCCGAACTATTCCAAAATATCTGAAAAAAAATTCCCAAATATCCCAAAATATTTCAAATATCCCAGAATATCCCAAAATATCCTCAAATATCCCAAAATATTCCAAAAATTCCCAAAATACCCCAAAATATTTCAAACTATCTCAAAATAGCTGAAAAAATCTGAAAATATCCCAGAATATCTCAAAATATTCCAAAATATCCCTGAATATTCCAAAAATTCCCAAGATATCCCAAAATATCCCAGAATATTTCAAAATATCCCCAAATGTTCTGAACTATTCCGAAATATCGGGAAAAAATCCAAAAAAATCCCAAAATATCCTAAAATAATCCAAATCTCCCAGAATATTCCAAAATATCCTCAAATATCCCCAAAATAACCCAAAATATTTCAAACTATCCCAAAATAGCTGAAAAAATCTGAAAATATTCCAGAATATCCCAAAATACCCCAGAATATTCCAAAGTATTCCCAAATATCCCCAAAAAATCCCAGAATATTTTGAAAATTCCCCAAATATTCCAAAATATCCCCAAATATCCCCAAATGTTCTGAACTATTCCGAAATAGCTGAAAAAAATTCCCAAATATCCCAAAATATTCCAAATATCCCAGAATATCCCAAAATATCCTCAAATATCCCAAAACACCCCAAAATATTCCAAAGAAACCAAAAATAGCTGAAAAAATCTGAAAATATTCAAAAATATTCCAAAATATTTCAGAATATCCAAAAATACCCC